CAAGACGTCTCGGAAATGCAGTGTGGGTGTCCCGAGTTCATGATGCTACTCCCACTGGTTAAGCGCAGCTACACTCGTCCTTTTAATCCAACAGCCATAAATAATTTGTCGAAAAAAATTTACCCATCTCTCTCCCACGCTTTCCCGCATTCACCCACTACCAGAGATACTTAGAAGTAGCGTATGTGTTAGGATATGTGAATAATCAATCACCCGCTGGTATAACTTCTCTCTGCTTAGAAGCAAGTTGATGGGAAAAAGAAAATTTAGCTACATCAACTCGCTCCCCCGACATGTAAACGATAACAGTTTCGTCACTGTCAAAACTTACTGAAGTTCACACTCTGTTAAACATCTAAACTTGCTTTTTCCTTCAAAAAAATGAATTTTTCGTCAATTCAAGATGATCAATAATGTTTATGTCCAAAATTCGTCCAATAATTTCAAACTTGACTTCTACTAAAAAATCAAACTGTCCTCATATACTACCAGCGTTGAAACGGGGAAAGCTTAAATCCACTTCAGAGGAGGATATGAACTGTGGATGGCTCAAATTTTGCATCCACGTTTTGTACGACCTAAATAAGAACACATGGTACCTGAATACAAACGCGTCCAGGTCGATTGAGACGGTTGGGTGATCTGTCTGTGTATCCTTGCGCACACTCGCAGGTGAACGATTGCTCATTGTCTCGACAAATAGCGTTAGGATCGCAATCATGCTTACCCGTCAAACATTCGTTTTCAACTGAAACAGATTTTAACATGTACAAATAAGGTATTAAAATAAGTGTAAATGTTGAAAATGAATGAAGTCCGAAATGAGCCACAGAAAGCGATTTTCTTCAAAGGCTGCACAGTGTTTTCCAGAGATTTTCCCCAATTCCCTTAAATCCAGTCATCATAAACCATAAATAATATTATATTCTTTACCAACACAACAAATGCAAAAACCGCCCATGCCAATGATGTTACTGGATACTCACATACTCCGTGCGCAGCTATGTCAGACCCTTTGATCCTGAATGTGCAACGCAGTTAGAATCCATTCCTGCCTTTCTATGAACTAGAAAAAACCGAACAGTAAGAAAGAAGAAGCAAACCCTCATAGCTGAATATTTGTTTTTGGAAAAAAACAGCTGCCTGCCTCTGATACTTTTTATTTTATCAAAGAACATGTTGAAAAGTTATTTGTCATTCTAACATTCACTTACAAAACCCACGCTGGAACGCATCAGGCTTGCCATGCGATCATGCGTTTTTGCACTAAACTCGCAAATCTTTAATAGCAGGAATGATTCCTGCGCTACAGCCTAACAATTGGGCTGATACTGGCCACGCTTTGGCCCATTCTGGCATGCAGGAGAATGGCGTCGGTTGGGATGGTTTTGCATTATACGGCCGCATGGCCTTCCAGGTGCATGATTATCAGTTTTTTGCATGAATAGTGGAGAAAAAGATTGGAATTAAGTGTCATGTATAAGAGTGTCATGCATTTCATGATGCAGTCTGTGTTTCATCCCCAAGCTGTATACACAGACCGAACAGTGCATGCGGGT